AGCACAAGATCAAATCACAATAAATTTGACTTCCTCTTTAATATATTTTGAAGCTTATACTAGATAAATGTTTCAGATAAATGGTAGATATACTGGGCGAAACTCGGAAATGAAGCAAAGGCGAACTTTGTGCAAGGTTTGATATGCAGGGCATCACTTCACACTTTTTTTTTTGATAAAACAGGGCTAAATTCCCAGACACTCCATACTGATGCGATATTGAGATGATAGTTCATCTAATTCTATATCTGCAACAGTCTAATTAGGCTTTTCTTTGGCCTAACGATGGTAGTCAGTTCGCTTGATTTAGAGGACAGCAAAAGCGCTATCTTATTTCCCTGATGAACATATCAACAATTTTGACGTCTATTAATTTTCGCAAAAGATCAACTATATATTAGCCACTAAGAAAAGTTAGCTAAAAAAGTGCATAACAGATTTGGGACAGATGACTGAGGTCCATAAGGAAGAAGGCAGACCAAGCGCATGAATCGGATAAAACAAGGACATCGCTAGTTAGAAATACAGCAATAATCATGAAAATGATTTGATGACTAAAATGACGGATAAAATCAGACAAATCTTTGCATATCTTCCTATCAGCTATCACTTAGCGATACTTAGGAAGATAGTCGTTGAAGTTTGGTTAGAGACAGTCGCTCTCGCTTTTCAGTCTATATCTGTTACAAAACAATAGGAAAGGTGTTTTGGAGCCCAAAAGTTCTGGGTTATTTTGGCTCCTCATCCAGGATAAAGCTTTCTAGAGCTGCAAAAGAGACAGACAGCAGCTAGAGACCGGGTGTGGAACAGCATGTACAACGCACACGGGTCATGTATGCACACGAGCGAGTATGTGTGTGGGGTGTGTGTGTGCTGTATGCGCTGTCTGTCTGTCTGCGTCTGTCGCTGTCTATCGATTCGTATCCTTCAATGTGTGTATGGATGTGTAGGCGTGTGTGCGGTGTATGGCGCTGAGTGTGTTTGTCTGCGCCTGCCTGTGTGCTGGTGCGTCCACCGACACCACATAACGTCTCCATCGATTCTATATGTACAAACACCGTCACGCTATGTATGCATATGGAATAATCGGGGGTTTATGTAAGGAAGACACGCTAAGGTCGAACTGGAAATAACGTTAAAAAAATACAAAGACTGACATTTAGAAATAAAAATTTCTATCGAAACTGTAAAAGTTGAGCTAGCAAAGCTAAAAAAGAAAACTAGAGAAAGAAGTTACATCTACAACTACAGACAT